TCGCCAGAATCGCATCTGGCGACATAAAAAGATAGCCGGTGCCAGAACCTATTCTGGCGCCAGAATATACTCTGGCTCCATAACGTGCAGCCATTTTTTGGAATATTACGGTGCATTCAGATCACTGCACACATAGGAAGGAGACACACATGAGATATATATTCATGTATAGAGACTAGGTACATGATTTACAATCCGTATCCCAGTCCGTATCCGTCGTCACCCATATCCGGCCTTCTATTCCTCCAACCCGTGCGTACCGTTGTTGGCCCGTCGACGGCTTGAGGTGGTGTGGAGGGAAGGAGGATGTGGGTGGTGCAAACCAAGCAACAGCTACGTCAAAAGTATCAGCCCGGAGATTCCAGTAATATGGTAAGTACACGTACCTTCCCACACTGGAATTTCGGGCAGAGGGATACCGCCCGACTTTCCGGGACAACAGCGTAGTCCGAAATTGTGTTTGGAATGTGTAATGATCTGGAATGCAAAGGTGATTAGTCGGGCAGGAGGGGAGGGCACCACATGCGGCGAATGTATGCTACAAGGCCACAGGCGGCTGCTGGGTGCGAAACAATGCACAGGTATGAAGAGAGGTGTGTAGGGGATCACAGAACACATAGACCAGAGCGAACCAGACAAGCACTAGCGAGGGATGCAAGCCACCAGCGAAACGAGTCGTATCTTCCAGAGCCAGCAGTACAAGCCGAAAGATTCCATAAGCGCTCAGAAGGGGAGAGGGGAGTTGACAGAAAACACAGAGGATGCTTGGGGAGGGCACAGCACACGTTGAGACCGGTTTACGGGCGCGGGGCAAGACGACACGGAGGGAGAAAGCAAGAGACGTGGCGATGGTTGGCCATCAAATCACGCCATATCGACACACGTGCACGGCGGAGTTTGAATGACTTAGATATCTCAGAGCTCCACAGAATTCAAAATGCAAATACTTGCCCTTCCTGCTTGCCTTCCTGCTGCATTGGAGCCTGTTTATAATCATACATTGCCTCCCAATGAATTTTAACATGGTAGGAAGCCCTATGAAAAAATCAAAACTGGCACTGATTCTGGCACGAGCTGGTGAGTGTGCGCCAGATCGCCCAGACGCGCCAGAATGCGCCAGCTCATGCCAGACAGAAAACATTTTCCTGATGGAGTCATATGTTACCGGTCAGATAGAAGAATGTCACAGCATTGCTTACTGGTTGGAATTGTCGCCGGGTGCAGCTGGATTTATCTCAGACACAAATGGTTGTTGCCAATAACCCTGACCATTCATCGATGGAGGGAATGGGACAAAGGGCTGTGAGTTGGGTGGAAAGGCGCCAGTGTATCTGCATAGAATTGGTTGGCTGTCAGGTTGAGAGGGAGAGCTTTGCTTACTGGTAAGAACCCGCCGCGGGTTCATTCGGGTTCTCTTCCATTGTGTATGCTTCTTGCCAACTCGCTGTGTTTTGTGGTTCTTGACCGTAGCCTTCCCCCTCCGACAATGGATCGAATGCGACAAAGGGGTGCGAGTTTGGGGATAAGTTGTCCGTGTATCTGCATTTATTGGGCTCGTCGGATCAACAAAACCGAGTGCAAGACTTACTGGTACGAACCCTCCCCCGGTTCAGTCGAATTCTCTTCTGTTACTTCACAGTTCATTTCATTGTCCAGTGACCCTTCCCAGTAGCCTTGGCCCTCCATCGCCGGGTCAAAGGCGACGAAGGCCTGCGAGTTCGAGGAGAAGGCGCCCGCAGTGTATCTGCATCCGATGAGCTGCCCGTCGGATCCACACAAATCCGACTTTTGCTTACTGGTAGGAATCCTCCTCAGGTCCTGTTTGATTCTCTTCAGCTCTGTATTGATCTTGCCATCCTGCGCCGTATTCCATGGGATCGAGTGGTGAGAGTGTGAAAGCAAGAGAGAACAGACGCCTGGTCTAAATTAGCGCGAACCTTCTCATGTCACTGAGGGCTGTGTTACAGCATATTGTGGCACACTGCCCACGCGGCGGCGGTAAGGAATGCATTCCACAGCATTAAGACTTGGGCTGCGCATGTGCACGAAACGTGGTCCACAGCTGCTCTTCCGTAACAAGAAAGCAGCCTCCAAAATTACTGCATGCAATTCAGAAATGGACTGGATTCGATATGGTGATATTGATCATTGAAGTACCCGCTGGCGGTCGCAATCGAACCCACAACAGCGCCCTCCCGGATCGATAGCTTTGCTGGCGCCTTGAATGCCAGACGAATATCAATGCGCGCAGAGGTGATATTTACACTGGAGTGACTCGGGATGGGGAATCGAAATCTTTGGACCGCTAAATTCTTCGGGGGCTATCTGTCACCGGCTTTGTTAACCTGTATCTACGTCTCATTACGCGCGAGTGGGATACCGCGAGAAGAATACGACCTGTGTAAACTCGCCATTGAGTGAATCGTGATTCAATTATGATAAGAGGGTAGGCTTGCTACGGTGAAACAAGAGGGGACTCCAGACAAGTCAGGAAATAATTATGATGAGGAAGCTAGAGCCAGAATGAGATGGATGGAGAGGTTGTAATACCGGCGGTCGGGCTCAAACCGATGTCTCCCTCCTACGCCGTACAGTTCAATTTTCCATGAGGGGTATCTGCCGCTGGTGTACCGGTTCCCTCAGCCTTTCGCATCCACACAGTTAATGAGACACCGAGAACGGAAACAGAGACGGCGGTGGAAGCTGATGGGTGCTGTACTGCCCGGTGCTCAAGCAGATGTAAACGAACACAATATTAACAGGACACCACTGAATTTGCACGAGCGACGAACGCCGACGGGATGAAGGTGGTAAAAAGATATCAAAATGAGAACACGAACTCAATGACGACACCAACTCAGTATGAATCGAGTTCGGCCGGTTCCTCCCGCGGACGCGGAGGCGCGGGTCCACGGAAACCCGGGGCACAAACCGAGAGGCAGAGAAGACGCGTTGCAGGCAGCGGGAACTCGTAGGTCAAGCAGTAGACTCAGGCGCGGCAGGATGAGGCACTGGTAGAATATTAATCCGTCTGCGTAATCTGGCAACGATTCCATTTTTACAGTTGGGCAGATGAGCCCGTTCGGCTCGGGGCTAGGTAGCCAGGAATAGGAAAATGTTCCTTTTTGGTTTTTACAGAAAGCAACGACACTGGTGCACAGTTGAGATGAAATAGAGAAAAAGACGTGACACAAAGTGCTTGTTTGACTTCGGGTGGTAATGCCTACCATCCTAGCGAGTTTGGGGCAAGCACGATGAGCGCGTGTCAACGGATGGCGGCGGATAGCATTCAGATGCGTTCAGGACGGGTGTATCTGTACGGTAGCCGTGGGGGGAAGAGAGCTCTAGAATTGCAAGGAGGGAGTGCGTTGAGTCAGTGGGACATTTTTTGCCGCACCCCCCGGTCTTTGGCCATGTTATGCTGCAGCTTCCGCACCCATTATGCGACATCATTATAATGCTCCAACTCCAACCATCCGCCATGTATAAAACCGCCCCTCTCCGCTCCGTCTCCTTCCATTATCCCCCACCATGAACACTACCACCGCACCCGCCCCCAACCTCGTCCCCACCCTCGACTCGGCGGCGCTGCCGAAGACGCCCGCGAACGAGTGGGCAGACAGCACAATAGGCCTCCTCGGCGCGCACGTCACCCACACCCCCGTCGGTACCCCCGGCCCTGCCATTCCCGGTGCGTTTTCAGGCCTCCAGGAGCCTGATGCACCTTCAACTGACGCGAACGGCGAGACGCTGCTCGACACAGCAAAGGCGTACCTCCCCGCACAGGCGGATGTGCAGCGCGCCATGACGGACGCAGGACAGGTCGCGAAGGCGCATCTCCCGCAAAGTGTCGCCGCGTATCTACGTGCGTGTTTCTCTCCTCGTACTATTTTTCTCGAACTAATTAATCGATCTTTGGTGATCAGCAAGTACCAACGAATCAACCACCCCTACACGCCCCGCGCTCCCCACCGAATCGGGCGCCGCGTCAAACCTCAGCATGGAGGCGCAGGCCGGCTCACTTCCGCCGCGCCCCGATTCCGTCTCCACGCCCGGCCGGCGACCTGAGCCTCGTCACCCCCACCGAAACGGGCAACATGAGCAAAAATCCTGTCCTTCGGCAGAGCATGACGCCCGCCGCACTGAGCGGGTACGCCGCGTCGAACGAGAGCGGGTTCGCGCCCCCGTCGAGCGAGAGCGTGTTCACGCCCATGTCGCCGTCTGCCTCTGCGTCTCTGCGTGGCATCCCCGCGCCGCCCAACTCCGTTGAGTCTCCCGACTCTTCCCTGGGCGCGGGCGGCGCGCCGCATCTCCTCGGCTCCGCCGCACTCAACTCCTCCCGCCCGGAAGATAACGTCCCGGCGGACACGCTCACACCGTCGGGCACCACCTCGCCCCTCACATTTTCCTACCCAACCTCCACACCCGGCGCGAACCCACACGTCCTCGGCTCCGCTGCCCTCAACGCCTCCCGGCCCGAGGACAACTTCCCCGTGGACGCGCTGATGGGACGGGAGGACGAGATGTCGGCGCGGCGCTCGAGTCCGCCGTCCCCGGTGGCGGGAGGTAGCGAGAAGGAGAGCATGCCGATTCCCGTGGGTACGCCCACGGGGAATACGCCTGCGCCGTACGCATCCACCAACGGCCACGCGGACACACAGACGCACGAGGAAGATGCGGCCGCGGAGGGGGAGAAGGAGGGTAAAGAGAAGAAGCCAAAGTTGATTGCGCGGATTAAGGAGAAGATGCACGTTGGAGGATCGTCTTGAGCAAGCGCAGTGAGAGCATGTGACATGAGGTGGAGAAGGACAAAGTAAGAGTCCTCGTGTAAACGACGGATGAATCATATTACTTATAATTTAAACTCAGCGCTTGGTCAACACCAGTGGGGCACTCGGGTTCCGGTGGAATTGACGCGCGTTGACGTTCCGGCATTAAGCAGATGAAGCGAGAACTTACAAAAAAAAAGAAAAGAAGTGAATATTGAATGGTTTCATGCACGCCACCAGCCGGAGTCGAACCGACGTCTCCCCCAAATTGATTCCAGTATTCCGTAACTTAACGAGGGTGACTTCCCGCTAGTCCACGGTGGCCTCACTGCACCATTTTCTTATAGGTACCACCAGCATATTTGACACATGAGGGAGAATTGATTGTGTCTGCGTGGTGGTCCCCGGACAGCCGCTGCCCTTTTTATCTGCTGGCGCCTGCTCGTGGTATGTATCTACAACATTTATTCAACAATGTTGATGACCATTCTCTAGAATGATGTCGACCGTTCTCTGGAAATGGGATGAGAATTAATGTTCGTATCATCCAATCTGTCCGATCATTTTTTATCGACCGAATTAGCAGGTTAGCTAATGAGCTGAGGGTGCAGAATAGCATAGATCGAGGTCGCATTCAAAGCTGTCTCGAATTCTATCTCCGCCATACTCCATTTAGTATGATGTGGTGTGCTCATGAATCCTCCATGCACATGTCACCCAGGAGTTGAACTTCCCTGGCAGACCCATTCCTCGTGTGACTGTCAGAGCCCTCCGTGCCTCCACAGATCAGAGGATACCACGTACGCTGAGAGGACGTAGGGCAGATCCTTGTCAGTATAGACTCCAAACCCCCTTGGCCACCCCCACTCTGACATCCCAAAAGGGGAATGCTTACAAATAGATAACATAACACTGACGGTCAGTGCACAAAATCCCCACTATGACATCACGTGATCACTTTCCCTGTTAGCCATTCCGATGTCAGTGTTCACACTGAGAAATTCTGAAACCAAGTTCATTGTCATGTTCTTGGTTTTATTTAACAGCACAGAGGGACTGTGTGTTTACAGAGTGATTTTAATTATTTCTTGTTTGAATTTAAGCTATAAAAAACCTTAAGAAAGGTCAGTTTGACAATGTACATGTTCAAAATAAAGTCCGTTTGCAGAAAGGTTTGCACATCTGCCCCGTCAATTTTAAGGTGAATTTGCGTGTATATGCTGTCATTTTCTGCTCAATAGTCTTATATACACATTTAGAGCAACATTGATGCTGCCATAAAACCTTCAAATACATATTACTGCCAACTATTTTCTGTGAGAAAGGTGAGAATAGAGGTGAAAAGCAACAACCATACATACACCAAGTGTAAAGGGTAATAGCGGAAAGTTTGAAGAAAAAAGGATCAAACACAACCTCTGAGGTTCGAACCCATACCCCCTGATGATTAGGTAACAAGACACCCTCACTACTTAACCACTACAGCACGGCCACCATGTATAATGGTCACAAACATTGTACTATGTGCGACCGGCCGTCTCGGCGAAGAAACGGCACATTGGTCAGCATTTGTCCATTTTAGGCAATGTCAGAGTGGGGGAGGCGTGTGGGAGCTGTATAGACTCCGAGTGTACATCAATTTCTTTTCGCTGTATCCTTGACTCCATTCCATCATGGAAGTCAAAGTCTGACGACTGGAGCTGCTGGCTCGCAAATACCATTCATTGTGCATGCACGCGTTGGATGCGCATGTGAGGTGGTGCAGTCCAATCTGTTCCACTCCTTGCTTTGGCATATGGGTTCTCTGGAAATTAATTGCTTCCTTTCTGTGAAGATTGCCCAATTCAATACATTATTGAATCCAATGCCTCAACTGGGCCCAAACTCCGCATCTAGCATCCTTTCTTTTTTGACTTTGGAGATCTTCCAATCCAACATAGCTTTCATGACACGGTATCAATGGTCTTCTCACAAATACACATCAGTTCAACTGGGTTCTATTGTGTCTTGGCCAGACAACCTAGATGATCCAAAAGAACTTGTGTGCCACCTGGAGTCTAATATTGGATACACCGATTGTGGTTAGGCATCTGGTTTGGAGGCATCTGACTTCCCACTGCCTGTGGTTACAGAGTCTGGCTGGAGTCAGTGTGCTTGATCCTTCTAGAAAGACTTTATCTGATAGGTGGTTTATTTGAAGTATCGCCTCTTGGTTTTTAAAAGGATCCATTTTGAGAAGGATATACGCAGAAGGTTTTGAACCTGCCATCTAGTTTTCTCAAGCAAACCACATCTTTAGCACCCTCCAAATCACATCTAATCATGAGGATTACCGTAAATCTCAGATTTGTGTGTCTGTAAACATGCCTGATCCACAGTTGTAGTCCTTGTTGATGAAATTGTGTATGATATAAACATTACTGGTCCTCTGGATGGCATACCCCATGGTCGTCTGTTTCTGTGTCCATTGGAAGACCTTCAGACAGTGGATGGAACACAGTTTTGACATCCTGACATTCCTACATACTGGTCCCTCGACCCATCGGGGATTGAGAAACTCATTGCTGAAGAAGCAGAACATCTTGGATTTCCTTCTCTGGTGTTCGCCATGGAAGTTTGTGGAACCTACTGGCAGGGAACAACATATTCAGCACTCCATCAATTTCGCCAGGCAAAAGGGTTTGATCCTGAGAGTCAGGATGTTGCCCGACGTCTTGGATATCCACTTTACCAGATCTCACCCCAGTGGGAGACTACTCGCTTTGCATATGGTGAGTGTGGTTGTCTATTAATGAAACATCTTGCTTACTCCCATTAGTCGAGGAGTTTGTCAAGCCTGAGTTTCCCGAGAGTAACAGTCCCAGCGACTCGGAGATTGATGGTGTGCAGTGTCTGCCTCTCATCACACATCACACTCAGCAAGGTCATTGAAAAGAAATTGAGATAACGTTACAGGACATCAATTGCAATGAGACTACTTTGCAAACAGCAGACACCAGCAATCATATGAACCAAAGCTCTGAGCCGGCCACAAGTTGCTCTCACAAATTGGACTCCAATCCGAGAGTTATTGCTGTTGCCATCGAGCGCGCACAGCGCCTCGAGTCCTGGTTGGATGATGACTCTCTGGTGGCTTTCATAGAACTTTTGGAGAAGGATCCAGGGGCAGCCAAAGCATATGCAGCCATTGAGTGGGAGGTTGTCTGAGTGAAGTGGGTAGAGTGAAAGTCGGGGATGATGTGATTGATAGGATGGCAGATCCAGTCAGTGGTGCTCAGCTGTAGTTTTAACTCTACTCTGGAATAAGACAAGTGTTCGAGTCATGGATCATGATGCTGTGCGAACGTAAATTGGACTAGATTGAGGTGTGAGCAAAGTTACAGTGTAGATATAGAGAATTGTGTGTGTTATGAGCGAGGGACAGGGAGAAAACCTAGATGAGATATGCATGAATCGAGTTCTGACGATACAGGGGAATGTGTGCATGCAGTGGTACGGGGGTGCAAGTGAGACAAAGAGAAAGATATTGGAATGCACAATGAGGCTGATGTCGTCAGTCATCACAGTAGCGCAGCGAACCAGATGAAATGGCATGTACACATGCACGTGGTCCTGACATGCATCTTCTCCTTGAGGTGCGTGAGCAGGTGTGGCTTGCCATCTGCATCATTCTTGTGCTCGTGCCCGTACCTTGTGGACAGGGAGGAGGGGGGGCATTGCAGGGCTGTGCGGTAAGTGGGGATGTATGCGCGATGGGCGAGGTGGATGCGCAGTAGGCAAGGTGGATGTATGCGAAGTGGGCATGCACGGTGGGCGAATAAGGCATGGAACGAGTCCAGGTCACCCGCGAGTAACCGCGGGTTGAACCATGGGAGAACTGGCGGGGGTCCTGACTCGCGGGTCGGGTACTCATGCCTGTGGGTATTTCACAGATCCGAGTATCGATTTTGGAGGTTTCTTGTTCAAACCCATGGGTTTTTGGCCCATTTTTGGGACACCAATAGGGACCAGAAATGTTCGTACACCAAGTTATGGACCTGGGGACTGCTGAAAATTGCATTAGGGCAGCCTACATCACATAAACTAATGATTTGTAGGCTGTAAACACCAATATAGACAGGAATTCTGCAGGTACTCACAAGTACCTGCGGGTTTTTTAAAACTCGCAAGTAGCTTGTTGACCCGCGAGTTTTTTACCTGCAGATCCGAGTTCAGTTGTTCCGAGTCACTTGCGAGTCGACTCTTTCCATGTGCTATGGGCGAAGAAGATGTATGCGTGGCTGGCGAAGGCATTAGTGAGGCAGCAGGGAGTGTGATCGCGTCCACAGGTGGAATGAAGGGCGAAGACATGCACAGAAAGGCCTGTCACGCGACGTGGACTCCAGAAGTGCAGGCGGCATGACGAAGTTCTCGATGGCAGCGCAATGGTCTTTATCTGAGACAGAGAGAGGGTGGCGGACGAGTGGTCCCCCCAGTGGTCCCCAGCGTGGCATCGAGCCGGAGGCATGAGGAAGGCACGATGCTGTCCTTGGACACGAACATCGGGTGTTGTGCACGCACCAGTCTTGGATGCACAGGGTTGGGCCCAGGTGTGGCGGCTATAATGAGTATTGACGTCTCAGTACTGAAATGCAAATGGACGAAGAGCAGGTGGATGCGCGCAAGTACGTGGCAGTGTCCTGCGAGAGGTAATCCTGGGCAAGCCTGCACAATGCAGGGGAGAGGTATACCCCCATGCACCGAGCCCACCGCTTTGCCCGATGTGCATACAACCCCCTCATCGTCCGAGGCGGCACGAGATGCAGGTGGCATGTGTCATCATGTAAGTTGGTGCATTCGCAGGGGGGCGAGGTGCAGGAGATGGCCGGTGCATCGAGTCGAGGCTGAGAGCCGAATAGTGGGCACGTGGTACCTCTTCCTCGCACCAAGCAGCGCACCAGCAGGCCACCTCTCAATGCGAGCGGCTCACGCACTTTCCCATGCCATGCATGCCTCCGCTTCTCGCATTCGAGCTCTGTGCTTCTTCACCCAACACCGCAGAGGAGACGAGAGGTCAGATGTCGTCTGGCCGGGGCCGCTCGTCCTCGATGCGAATCCTCTTCAGGCACGCACGAGCAGGCATGCCCGTTTTTCCATCCCCACCGTACTCGTGCCTGTGCATGGTCAGGGAGGTGCATGTATGCGCAATGGGCCAGGTAGCTGCATGCATGACAGGCGAGGTGGGCGAGATGGCCAGTGAATTGAATGGTGGCTGAGTGCTGAGGACTGCAGGTGGGTACACCTCTCCACCACATCGAGCAGCCGCATTCCCCCATGCTTGCCTG